GAGAATTGCCCTTAAGCTGTTTAACTTGGACCAAGCATTTTAGGTCACAGATAGGTGTAGCTTAGGGTCTCTGTCTATACACCTTATAAGACAATTTAGGTGATGGCATGTTGTTTTTCTGCTATTGAACTGTTTTCTAATAATGTGTTTAATAAAGTGAAGGAAGGAGAAAAATAACGTTTCCCTAGCAGTTTTTTAAAAATGTCCCTATGTAATCCGATTAATCGATTAATCGTGTCGAGATCCCATCCGATTCATCGATTATCCAAATAATCGTTTGTTGCAGCCCTAATCAAAAGTCATTAATGACTATTTTTTAGGGCTGCACAATATACCAAAAAATTATCGTCATCGCGATAACAGGACGTGCGATAGGCCCATCGCAAAACACGGCAAAAAAAGCGATAAATGTTTGGTTCAAACATTTCCATCCGCGTCATACATCAGTTTTTTGTAAACCAGCTCTGTTTTTTACGCGGAAGTATTATTTGACCAATCAAATGTAGTCCTTCTGATATGCGGCCAATCAGATGGTTCCGTTCACGTAATACGCCCGCCCCCTACGTAGACCCTTTTGGAAAGCAACACCCGAACAGAGTTTGCGGCGCTGTTCCGTTGTTTGTCATGCTGGCTCAGAGCAACGAACACACTTTGTGCTGATGTTTTTGGATTCATTGCTGCTTTCAAACGTGAACATGACTCCGCTCGGTGTTGTTAATCATTTTTACCAGGCTGACTCCGACATGTGCCGGTGAACCAACCCACCTTCACGTCGCTAGTGTTCCACCGGGTGGTGGCTCCGGTTAGCTTCCAGCTAAAAGGCTACAGCTCTCTCTTCCCAGTCCCACCCTGCTAAAGAAGGCCTGGAAAAGTTCCCCCACACATCAAAGTGATTTTTCATTTATGAGCTTTTATAACCTTGTTAATCAGGATAGTTGATTTGCTGCTGCACATAAACTGTCAGTCAGAAGCTCTGCTAGCCAGTTAGCTTAAGAGGAGCTAGTTCAGTTTGTTAGCTTGTTATCAGGATCATAGTTGCAGTTTCATCATCTGAGCTGCTTTTTAAGATCCAGGTAAACTTGTTCAGTTTGGGGTTAAAACCAAACATTTTCACATATTTTCCATGTATTTTTTTGCCAGTTCCTCTTCTAAAAGGTAGACAATTGTTTTTCTTTCCCTCAGAAAATCTTAATGTTCTCCTAGTTTGGGCCAGCACAGATCACTTCCCAATTGCAGAAACAGCCTTATATCATAACCACATAAGTGGAGAAAATGTTCAGTAGCAATGAGAGAATTTGCTGTTGCATTTAAGTGATGTTAACTATTATTTAACATTTAAAATTATTTTAAGATATTTTTATTTATTCAAAAACCCTGGTAAGGGATGTTTTTCTGTATATGGAGCATCAGAAAAAGTTTTATGGTGGAGGTGATGTTTTAAAGTCACTGAGAAACTGCATGCATGCAGTTTGTTGTTTTGCTGCTAATACAGTAGCAGGTGCAGCTGCATATTTTTGCAATAAAAATGTTATGTTGTAATGGAATTCATGCATTAGTTTTTGTTTGCTTTGAACCCAGAGCAGACGTCACACGCCAGACGACATCAACACTGCAGACTTTGGTATTTGTTCATTTATCGTGAGTAATATCGATATTGCAATATTAAGCACTGTTATCGAATATCGCAGGTTTTCCTAATATCGTGCAGCCCTACTATTTTTACTAATTCCATGGTAATTTCTCAAAAACTGTTTCATTCCGCAACATCATTCCACTTCAATCTTAGAGTACACATCGAGCACTACATCCTCCCCAAATTTCATAAAGATCTGATGTGGCATTTCAAAATAAAGTGCAATGAAACTAGTCAGTAATGACAATTTTCACTATATTCCACGGCTGATTTCTCAAAAACTGTTTGATTCCGCAACATCATTCCACATCTGCCTTAAAGTACACATAAACGTCTACATCCTCACAAAATTTCTGATGTATCATCAGGTCTTAATAAAATTTGCAGAGGATGGAGTCCTCGATGTGTACTCTAAGACTGAGGTGGAATGATGTTGTGGAATCAGACAGTTTTTGAGAAATTAACCATTGAATATAGTGAATATTGTCTCTAAAGTCATATTTGATTGCACTTTATTTTGAATTGCCACATCAGATCCTTATGAAAGTCGGGGAGGTTTTAGCAGTCGGTGTGTACTTTAAGACTGACGTGGAATCAGACAGTTTTTGAGAAAGAAACCATTGAATATGGTGAAAATTGTCTTTATAGTGAAATTTGCACTTCATTTAGACCGTTTTTGAGAATGAAACCATTGAATTTAGTGATAATTGTCAATAATATTCACTTTCTTTTGAAATGCCACATCAGATCAGGATGAAAGGGAGGGGAGGGATAAGAATTGCAAAGTAGACAAATGTGTTTATTCTTTTAATTTAAAGTATTTTTAATAGATAAAATCATAAAAAACACAGTTTTATCTTGCACACAATTTTACACAAACACGTTTATATCGTGTTCATTATTTTAATTAAAAGTATTTTTAAATAGATAAAATCATAAAATCGCAGTTTTATCGTAGACACAATTTTACACAAATTTTGAAATGTGTTTTGAGCGCTTTTATTTTGAAAGGCACTCTATATAACGAGGACACCGTAATTTCTCTTGTAGTTGCGCCTGTAAAAATCGAAAGACGGCTGGCTAGAAGGCAGTCAGATAACTGAGGTCCGCTTGCTGGAGATGATCTACACAAGAAAGCAGCTTTCTACACACTTTAAATAATACCAGGACAGGGCCCCGGGCAAAATTATTGTCCCAGTCCGTCTCTGCACGAGTCCTGCTGGTGTTTCTTACCTGCTTCGTGTGAGCTGCTCTGTGGTTCCCAGCTCATATCCGACAGTCTGCGCTGACCACCGAGCCCATCCTCGAACTGGGCCAAGGCTTCTTCAACCTTCGTGATGAGTTTTCTAGCAGTAGCTACTTGCTTGTTGACAAAGTCCATCAGAGACTCTCCTGAATACATGTTTAACCCAGAGACTCGATATTCACCTCTTACAACAACAAGCTAACTTTACCAACAGTCCTTTACTTCTTCTTCGTCTTGGTTTTGGTTGGCGCTCGGAGAACAATGAACGTGTTACCGCCACCTGCTGGTCAGGACAAGAACGACACCAAGTGAGAGCTTGAAGTACAAATCCAAAATATAAACTTTCTTTCATTGTAAAATACCAGGGTTCAAAATTAACCTTTATGATCATCACCTTGGATTTCCACTAGCCATTTTTTTCTGCAGTCAAAAAAGAGATTAAGAATGCCACTGAATGAAGATTTTGTCATTTTATTAACACTGCTGTGAAAAACGCACACATACTGCAATACACACAAGAACATATAGAAAGTGCAACATTGATTTATTTTTTTCCCACTGTATCTCCTCCCTCTGAATCAATCATCCTCAGAGCTCTCTGAACTTGTTTCTTTTTCTGAATCTGAGTAAGCATCACTTTCTTTTGTTGCATTTTTGCGCACAAATTCAGGCCTGCGTCTGCGCAAACTGTCAGCATGCCAGATGTCAATGGCTTTGGTTGGATCAAAGTATTTAATGTCAGGTGAGAACAACTGGGTTTTCAGGAGGTCAGAGAGGGTCTCACCTTTCAGAATCAGAAAAACTTTATTTATCCCCGAGGGGCAATTAAAAAAATAACAGCAGAGCAACACGATGTTGGACATACGAACATTGAATAAATAGGCAATAAGGAAGTAATAAAGAAGATGGATAAAACAGTAAAATATGCAAAAATCGCTGAGTAAGTGAATAAAGTGACTAAAGTGTCATCTGTATAAAAGTTAAATATATGGAGGGCCAAGGAGAGGGTTTATCAGGGGATGGTCTTATCTGCTGGAGTTAAAGAGCAGAATGGCTTTGGGGACAAAGGTGGCTCCTCCTCTCAGTCTTACAGGAAATGCAGCGTAGGCGTCGCCCAGAGGGGAGCCATTGAAATGCGGAGTGAAGAATGTGAGAGGGGTTTTGGCTGCCTGTCTCAGGGCTTGTTGATAGAAAACCTGAGCAAGAGTTCTGACAGGCAGGCCAACGATTTTGGAACACACTGATGTAGTGTGCTGCAGTCTGTTCCTGTTCTGGAGGCTGGAGTAGAACCAGCAAGTGATGGAGAAGGTCATGATGCTTTCCAGGAAGGCACAGTAAAAAGTCATCATGACTGAGGAGCTGACTCCAAACGAGTTGAGCTTCCTAAGGAGATATAACCGTTGGTGGCACTTCCTGAGAATCTCCTCTGTGTTAGCAGAGAATTTCAGGATGTTGTCAAAGGTGGTTCCCAGATACTTGTACTCCTCCACTACCTCCTCTGGGTTCCCATGGATAATGGTGGTGACTGAAGCAGCCGGATCCCTCGGCCTCCTGGAGAAGGCCACCACCATGTCTTTGGTTTTGCTCACATTCAGTTCAAGTTTGGAGCTGTCACACCATTCTACAAACTCCTGAAGAGCAGGTCTGTGGTGTTGTGAGGAGCGGAGCCTGACAGCAGTGACAGGAGGACTGTATCATCAGCGTATTTCACCAGGTGACAATTGGGATGTGTGGCTCTGCAGTCGTCGGTGTAGAGGATGTAGAGCAGGGGGAGAGCACACAGCCCTGGGGGGAGCCGGTGGAGGTGGAACGGAGACCGGAGAGACAGTTGTTGACCCGAACTTTCTGAGTCCTGTTGGTTAAAAAGTCCAGTATCCACAGGGTTAACTGGTCATCTAAATGAAATTGGGAGGAAAGTTTAGTAGCCAGGATGTGAGGCTGCAGAGTGTTGAATGCTGATGAAAAGTCAACAAACAGAAGCCTGGCGGAGGAGTCAGGGAGCTCCAGATGTTTGTGGATGGAGCCCAGGATGAAGATTTTTGCATCATCTGCGCCTCTGCGTGCACGATAAGCAAACTGGAGTGGATCCATCAGGGGCTCAGTTGCTCTTACTATGTGCTCTTTTATGATCTTCTCCATGGCCTTCATCACCAAGGAGGTTAGAGCTACAGGACGAAGATCGTTAGGAGACTTTGGGCGTGAACGCCAGTCACTCTTTACCTGCTTCATGACACTGAACCCTCTTTCACAGTCAGCTGTACTTGCAGGGATGGTGAGGAGAGCATCAAAGAGGTAAAGGACGTCAGGACACCGATGGCGCAGCATTCTGTTCACAGTAGGCCAGGTTTTCTCAAAAGTTCCTGCAGAAGGGTCAGACAAAATTACAGTCTAGCAAGCAATAGTTTAAAATGCTACTTTATATATTATTTTAAAGAAATAATTACATTTGTAATGCGCTTTTAACAAATTAAAATCTTACACTATTAGACATTTGGCTTTTCAAGGACTTGTTAAAAAACTTTGCCATTTAGGAACATCAATGTTAATTTTTTCCTCTAACATAATTCTCTAAATACCTTGGCTAAATCCTGCTGTGTACAGTTCAGCCTTAAGAATTGTCCATTGATCAGGGATCAAGTCCACATCCACTCCAGCAGAAGAGGTCGGAAGTGACTTGTGAGCTTGTTTATCTCCTCATCACCAAAATCTGAGAACAAGGGAAAACATTACTACAAAGTTCAGAATTTGTCGTAAATCATAAAGATGTGTCCATCACTAACCGAAACTCGTGTCTGCCTCTGGCCAGCACTGGAAACTGGTCAGTCGCATAGCATGCAGGACACCACTGTTCACATCACTAAATCTCGCAGTGATGCATTGTCACAGAGAATCGATCAACTCGTTCTTTGCCTTGTTGTGCTGGCCAGCATCAGAAGGCTTCAGAAGGACTCCCTCACATGTGTCTGTGTCCAGCACTGATCTCAGCTTAGGCCCAGATGGCATGTTGTTTTTCTGCTATTGAACTGTTTTCTAATAATGTTGTGTTTAATAAAGTGAAGGAAGGAGAGAAATAACGTTTCCCTAGCCGTTTTTAAAAATGCCCCCATGTAATCCGATTAATCGTGTCGAGACCCCATCCGATTAATCGATTATCCAAATAATCGTTTGCTGCAGCCCTAATCAGAAGGCTTCAGAAGGACTCCCTCATATGTGTCTGTGTCCAGCACTGATCTCAGCTTAGGCCCAGGTCTACAGCTGTGCAGATAGATTGATGGGTGTCATTTCATCCATCCACATATCTACAGTATTTATTTGAAAGCAACATAACCTAAATCAAAGAATACAATGTAGGTTACATACCTTGACTTGTACTTTTGAATGACAGCTTGAGTAGAAGACAGGCAACTCTGAGCTTCAGCCAGGGTTGACACAGACCTCTGCAGTGACTTGGAGAGGCTGCTCAGTTGACAGATGGTGTCATGGAGAAGGCAGCAAAACCTGAGCACCCCACCATCCTTGGCTATGTTGAGGAACCCCTTGGCCTTTGCCCTCAGAACTGCATTGGTGTTCGTGGTATTTTGGGACTACAGACAAACAAACTAAATTATATCACAGCCACAGACCGCATTAAAACTGATGATAATGAGTATCAGATTTAGAGAACATTGTATCTATCTACACTAGTTTTAGTAGGCTGTAAATTAACTAGGGATGCACCGATCAGGTTTTTTGCTGCCGATCACTGATACCGATATCAAAGAATGCTGATCACCGATACCGATCACCGATACCGATCACCGATACCGATCACGTGGATTGGCCAGAAATTTTCTACAACATTATAATGAGTGCTACAAACTACATAATCTGGGAATAAAGGAAATGTAACCTAATCTAAAATGGTCTGTATTAAGGTTGTCACGTTGTGAAATTTTAACCTCATGGTTATTGTGACCAAAATTACCACGGTTTTCTGTATTATTGCAGTATTTTTTTAAACTTGCTACATTTTCACACAACTAAATAAACCCTGTATGTCAGAAAATATTGTCCTCAGTTTGTGTCTAAATTTAGCCTAAAATGTGTTATTTTGTAATTATGTTGTTTATTTGTTTACATTTTTCCCTTTAGTCTTTAAAATACCAATATTTGCCCATAACTTCTTATTTTATGTCTGTTTGATGTCATCATTTTAAAAATATTAGATCAGATGATACTCAGTACTCAAGTAGCCTTCTAATCAGATACTTTTTTACCCTTACTTGAGTAATAAACCCTATATCAGGAAAGTATTGTCCTCGGTTTGTGTCCTTCCAGTGAGCTTTGCAGATTTAGGAAAATGTCATCAGGCAATAATCATTGTTAAATTCATAATTATTCTCGGAGAGAGACCAACTCTTATCTGCCCCTGGGAGCCCCGTAATGCATAGCGTCATTTCAACATGGGGGTGTCCGCGACACGGTTTATATGCAGCAGTGCTGCAGCTGCTTTATAGAGTGACTCGTTGCATTCTCCCTCAACCCAAATCCTCGGATCACGCATTTTAGCTAAAACGCAAACGCTAACTTGCCTTGCGTTGACTGTAGAGTTGTGGGTGATGGTCACGCACATGTGTCATGAGATTTGAAGCATTGCTGCCTTTCACAGACACTTTTTCTGCACGTGCTGCAAGCAGGATAGCCGTCTTCCATCAGCTGTCCCTCGGCATTCTTCAAATATCCAAAAGACGCCCGTACTTCCGACGTTGTCTTCTTTGAGGGATAATAAATGTCCACCTGAGCGCTGCCGTCTCGTCCTTTGGCCATTATTTCAGCTTTAGCTTCAAGAAAGTTTTGGTTGTAAACAACAAAGCGCGCATGTGCCGCCGGCAACTTCAGCAGATGATACGGTGGCTGGTAAGGGTCACCGCGCCTACACCGCAGCCACGGTAAACCCACCGAGATAATATAGTTTTTTTAAAAACAAGACGGTTATTATTATTGTCAATTTTTTTTTTACCGGGGTTTACTGCTACACCGGTTACCATGACAACCCTACCTGATCGGTCTGCTTTGATCTATTTTGAAAACTCCGATCAAAACCGATAGGGGCGCGATCGGCCGATTGGGATCAAATGCCGATCCATCGGTGCATCCCTAAAATTAACATACCATCTCCTCTAAGTGGTGGACAAAGCCAACATATCCCCTGAGAAAATGATCAAGCGCATTGAAGAAATGTGGGAGCCACCGGGTTCCACCTATTCTGGTTGGCATCAAAGGCTTCAGGTGGAGCTCCCTGAAGTGATCCTTTAGGCTGGCCCTGTTTACGCCACTCTTATGATATAAGGTGTAGAGTCCACTCAACAGGTCCTCAACTTTCCTGACCATCACATTCTTCCTTATTCCATCCGAAAAGGAGAGTTCAAGCTTATGGGCCATGCAGTAGATTCCAAGCACGTAACATCTGTCTCCACGCAGTTTTGTAACAACACCATTGTTTACTCCTGTCATTACAGATGCTCCATCAGTAGTGATGGCAACCAGCTTCTTCTTCCAATCAGTGCTGACTTCACTGTCCAACATACCGCACACAGCTTCAGCTATATTTGCAGCATCTGGCTTTGAGACTGATTTAACCCCAACAAAGTCAACTTTACCTTCTCCTTCACTGGCACTCCTGACATAAACAATTTCTTCTTCTATCACTGCACTGTCCAGGGATCCATCTGTTGAGGGTCTGACCTCATGAGGAAATTACTATGCAGTGATTTTCTCCAAAATGACTGTGCTTAAATTGCTCTGAAAAGCAAATAATCACATCAGCGCCAAGAAACTTCATTTCCCATGATGCTTTGCACACGGAAGCATTGTGATGACGTCACCGCCTAATACCAGAAACACGATCTGCGGGAGGCGGGAGCGTGGAGCTTTTCCCGCGAACTAAGACCATAAATCTTCAGCAGAGACAAAGAAACCTCGTTCTCTTGCCCAGGATACCTGGTGGTAAGGATACGCTTGTCGAACGCTCCGACAACTTGAGCACGCGGAAGCTCTAAGTGCCCAAGTTGAGCCACGCAACCGCTGGAAACCACTCCAACTCCATCGGGACCTGACTGGGAACGAGCGGAGCTCCATCCAGCTCTCAGAGACGCTGTAAGTTGTCAAACTCAGCACAAAAGAAACTTCGTTCTCTTTGTGTCCAGCCCGTGGAGAAACACTCGTGGAGGTAAACAACGGAGAAAGCATCAAACCGACGGACGACGCCAAACTGCGGAGAAACACGGAGAACCGTCAAATCAAACATCTGGGGATGCCTTGCTGTTCTGGTGATCAGAAAACTAATTTCTCTCTCTCCTCTTCTTCTCCCGTTTCCTCTATAGTCCAGAATAAGCAATAAAACCGCGCTATTGCTTAAAAAGTAGCTTCATGTCTTCCTCTTTCGTTCCCAAACACGTCCGTCGGGTCATTTTGAAAGAATAAACTGCTTATTAATCATTGTTTGGTATCTTTAAATGTTTTGGCCATGGCCAGGCTGATAAACTAAAGGATATTAACTTGTGATTAATCTTTTGTGTTGTTTCATGATCCTTTGAAATGTTTTGAGTGATTTAAGGTTAAGTTACTTATGATTCTAAATGCCTTGGAAGTTAAAGTGCAAGTTGCCACCCACACTTTAGCCAGACAAAGGGGTCAGCCATCTTGTATACAGACTCCATTTTAGAAACACACACACACATACATACACACAAAACACCTTGAACATTAATTTGAATATACATCCTTTTCTTATATCAAATCGTTATTATTCATTTATGCCACTGTTTATTCATTTGACAAATTGTTAATTAAACGTTATAAAATTCAGATTTTCGTCTCCAGTAGCTTTGTTGTGTCGAAGAGAAGTCTCTGCTCCAAGGATTCTACGAACTTCAAGAAAGACTGATAAGAGTTTTGGATTCAATTTTTCCCCGGTTGAAGGGGAATGGTGCCCCGTATATCTAAGAATATCTTAATTAATTAATAAATCAGTAAATATTTACATATTTACAGAATTTATTGAAGAATCCAAAAGTAAGTTGAAGCTTACTAATTGTTCGCTCCTAATAACCCCAACACCTCTGACATGACTGACATGAACTTGCCATCTAATAATCTTGTCTTCATTTTTCTCCTCTCATCCTCTGCTATGTAGTGTATGAATTATTTTGCTTGGTGGTCATTTGTATATGTCTCTCCTATCTTCAAGCCTTTCTTTCTGTCCACCCTAAATTAATCATGTGAATAAAGCCAAAGTTAGTGCAGAGTTCAGTTACTGAGTTCTTTTATTTTTTCTTTTTGAAATCAAGCATAACATTTCATCTGTGTCAGTAAAGGCATGTACATCATCACTCTGTATCAGTTTAAATGCACTGATTCTGAAACATGTAAATGGAATGATTGATTTACTTACTCACACATCCATGCGAAGTCGGCGAAAGGCCTTCCCTTTTTTGCGATGGCACGAGCATTTCTAAAAAGAAGCTACATCTTTTCCAACTCCAAACTTCTGAGTGAAGAGGCTTTTCCCAGCAACACTCTCTTCAACTGGAACTGCCTTAGCAATCTTCATTAGGAGGCTTTCCTGGTGACTTCGAGCTTTCTCGTGGTCCTTTACAGCCTCAATTTTAAAATTATAATAATTAGCTTACCCGTCCCGTTATCCACTTTCACTACGGCGCTGCACTCCGTTTCAATCAGGCTGTACAGCAGGATTTCCCCTCGTAGCGATATTGTCCATAACTCTGATTGCTTCATGCTATAGATCGTTGGAAAGCTGTTTTTATGTACTTTTAGCAACCACTGGAATTTTTTGAATCTGATCAGCCTTCCAATAGTTATAAAACAGAGCATTTTGGATGACAAACTCA